CAAACGCTGGAGTTAATATTTGATAAGCCGATTTTCGCTAATTTTAGACACATCCCAAAATATGCTCCCGATTTTGAACATTAATATCTCCGTGAATTTTTAAGTAAAATACAACTATAATATATCAAAATCTAAGTTAGTCCTTCCTCTATTTAATGCAAGTTATTTCTGTTTGATAGCTTTACTTGTTTAGAAGTTATTATAAATCAAACCGGAGTACTTTTTTTTGGGACACCCGGTAGTTAAAAGTAAAGGTCCCATAGTCCTTTTAATGTTCTATTTTTAAGTCATCAAGCATAAAATAACTATAGAATTCAAGCAAGACAATTATATAAGCATCTAATTCTCCAATTTCAAAAATGTAATGTCTGCAACGTAATGTCCGCAACACATTATTCAAGACATGTTAGTACTTTTTATTGTCTTTTTCCAGTCTAAAATAATGTTAATACCATTTTAAAAAAGCAACACAAATATAATGTCAAAAGAGCTAGACGTTTGGCTGAAAAATAAATTGTAATTGTTTTTTTGTTGCGGACATTACATTTCTCTTACCCAAACTTCGATGCACCATAAATCACCGCAACACTGGATATTGTCTTATCTAACATTCTCATCATGATATGTGAACCTTAGACTGTGTTTGTTAAGAAATATAACTTATTTCAAAGTTAAAGTGACTGAGTTATAATTATTTTAAATAAACACACTTTATCCACAGAACAATAGCAACAAACAAGTGCAGATTCGACGGTTTGCCGCAGAGTGGGCATGGGCCAAAATTCAAAAATCGTTTTGATTTATGATAATCCAATGTGTTAACTATGGAAACATGTGGTTAGCACCACATAATGTTGCATTTTGCAATTTTGCCATTTTCAGTGTCTCATGTGCAATTGACCCCTATTATGCTAAAAAAAATGCCAGCATAATATGCATGCCCCTAGTGCTCAAGGGAACCTGCCCACTCCTCTGCAGTCTGCAACGTTACTATCCCAACGTTACCAGTATTTGAGATGGCAGAATCTGTGTGTTCGCCGTTACGTTTGACATTATCTTTTGTTTGTGAAGTTTATATCGGTTTTTATCACATACTGTATGTGTGACTGGACATTTATGATATTTATAGCACAGTACAGTAAATTTGCTTGTTAATTAAAGTACAGTATATTTGAAAATATAGCTGTGTAAAAACCTCGACATGTTTACATAATTATGTAACCGTGTTTAACTAAAGCAGCAAATCAATGAAATCTTTTCAAGAAATTGACACGCGCTAACAGTAGAAGTTCCACTAACTGCTATTCGAAAAGCAGAAAATGTATGGTCAAGCAGATTTTTTAGGGTGGTGCTGGATTTCTCTTGGGGGTGCTATAGGACACCACTAGGTGGGGTGCCCACCCTCACGGTAGATCACCTCCCGTCACACATGCACATTCACCAGCCCTCGAAAACTGTCTAAATCTAACTTAGGTTGGCACGTCTCGGCATTTTTTTAAATCTGTTTCCATGTCTAAAGCACCAGTCATCACGTATTTGCGAATCATTGAAATCGGAATATAAATTAAAGCATGCTTTTTTCGCAAGCTACAGTAACACGACGGCTTTTCTTTTGGAGTCGCTGACTCTTTAACAGCTATCAGCACCGACGAATTTTTACTTTGACTGAATTAAGGTCGGCAAATATTTGCCAACCTGGGAGGTTGATAGGTCGGTATTTAGGTCGACATGGCCGAATGCTGACCTCATTTTGGAGGGCTGCATTCACACAATTTTTTTTACTGCCAAGGTGGACTGATTGGTGCATATACAACCAGTGGTACATTCAAATCGGTGTGTTCAATATTACAAGAGTTAACTCCAATCGAGAAGGAGAAATTGCATCGATCAATCACGATGGCACTTGGAGATGTCGGCATGCTGGATGTTGCTGCTGTGGGAGTACTTATAGCAACAGATCAAGAATACAAACAGCAAATGATTGGGGCGATGATGGAGTACTTTAGGGATGAATTACAAATGGAAGTTGTTGAGTGACATGGAAGTAAAGTGGCAATCTTGTGAGATGCTTCGATGTTTTCGAGTGATCTGATTTCAAATAACACCAAATATTAAATTTATTTATTAGAATAACTGTAAAGCCGCAAAAATATACAGCACCATATAGAACACTTACAACATCTAGTTTGTGCGCACAATTTTTTACCCACTTTGCCCCCTACTTTGTTATTTTACTCTTCAAAATGTTTAAGAACGAACTTTCTCTAACCAAGCCTCATTAATAATATATTTTGTGTTCAATGTATAGACCACAGTAATAGTTTTTTTTTAATGTGTTTATTACATCAACAAACGACTTTTCCAAGATTTGCTCCATCTTCAGGTAAATAAGATTACAATTTGAATTTTTAAACATTTTTTTATTTTACTCTGTCTAATGCTGAAATTAGGCAAATTGTTAGTTTTTTTCTTGTGCTCATTTTTTCAGCATCCTTTTAACTGTTCCGCTGGAGGTATACTCACTGCTATTGTTTATAACCATTATTATTTAGGGGCTGTTCATATGAGCCCTGCTCTGCCGGGCTGGCCCAGCTAGCCGGGCTGGTTTTTCAAGTGCCGAGATCCCGCCTCACATATTGTTTGTATATTAATTTAGGATTGGGTTCATGTTAGAAGCAGGCCAGCCCGGTTTGCCGGGATCTCGCTTGAGCGAGGCGAGATCCCGGCTTGCCGGGCTCATATGAATGCACAACCGGGCTAGCCTGGCAAGCCGGGCTGGAAATTTGCGTGCTTTATGCCCTTTATTCCACTGATAAACAGTCTAAAATGTCCAAAACTATAGGAATTTATTGAAATTAAACCTCCTGAAGCTGTTGCCGTCGACAAAAATAAACTTTTGCCAAATAAACACGAATTTTATTTTCCCGCTAAAATATCGCGGGGAATCGTTACTATGAATAGATATGATTGCCGGGCTAGCCCGCCTCATGTGAAAGCAAAGCGGGCCAGCTCGGCAAAGCGGGCCAGCTTGGTTAACCGGGCTCATACTGTATGAACAGGCCCTTACTCTGTCAAATGCCAGATGATTTTACTTGTCAAGGGATAGTATCGGGATTCAGTGGGCTAATATGACCTATAATTCATAGCTTTCATATTGGTACTGGCTTGAAATACTGTACAGCAACACGACAATTTTTATGTTTTCAACACACACTGTTTAATTAAATACACGTGCAAAATAGTTAATTTTCTATTAAATACTAAATTTAGTTTGTAGATCACTATAAATAATTATCTGCTCTGAATGGTGTTCTATATGGATATTTTCTGCTAAAGTTTATACTAGTGTACTGTATATACATTTCTGTAACATTTTAGCTAGCACGTCGTTGCGTGTTGGAATTCTCTATAATATTATGTGCTATTAATTAATCTAGAGAAATTCATCCTTTTGCTATTTGATCTATTTGCTAGTATATAGTCCACAAATCCACAAATGAAAGCTTGTATATGGCAATTAATGCAAGGCCAGCGAGAGAGGGGGGGGGGGCAGAGGGGGAAAATACCCGGGGGCTGGAGTGCTCAGGAAGGGGCCTGGAAATCGACGTGATCGATCATAAAACGTACCAAATGTGAAATAGATGATTTTCCGATCGTTTTCGCAGCAAAAACAGTTAGCTGAACATCGTTCACATTGCGTTTTTATCAGTTATGCGGCGATTTCTTGCGAGTAATTTGCTGGTAATTCTCTCGTTGATTGCGATTAAAAATAGACTTTGGCGTGGCCATACGCCAGCGGGAGAGTCGAGAGGGACAGGGGGCCCGTGTTCACCAATTCGTCATTTTGTCCCGGGGCCCGTGGTTGGCTCCCGCCGGCCTTGAATGGACCATTTGCATTATAGACTAAATTTTGATCTAGACAAAAATTTCATCACAGCTTGAAAGAGCATCACAGAATTAGTAATATTGCAAAGTTTCGTTGCGAAATGTTGTAAAATGCGGATAATATAGCCATGCGAAGTTTGCCGTTTTTCAGTCATTTTGTATTTAATACGCACGGGAAATTGACAGCCCAATCGGGTGTTGGGGCATCAATTTCCCGTTTGTAATCTAAAATGACTGAAAATTGCAAACTTCGCAAGGCTATATCATCCGCATTTTACAACATTTCATAACGAAACTTTGGAATATTACTCATTTTGTGATGCTCTTTCAAGCTGTGATGAAATTTTTGTCCAGATCAAAATTTAGTCTATAATGCAAATGGTCCATTAATGAGGTAAATTTCCACATTCACACTGTCACTGCCTGGTATGGTAATTAGCGATGGGCCGATACCAAATATCGATATTAGAACAACGAATTAATACATTTGATACTTGCGAAAAGTATTGGAGGTAATTTCGATGCAGCTTGTTGAGATCAAGATGGATTTCGGCTATTTTTATGGTTGTTTTAGGCAATACAAAAAATTCAACCCTAACCCACAATCAATCCTAACCCCAAAGTTTCAAATCTGCAAATTGAACCTACAATTTAGACAAATAAATTTAGACCATTCAGGTTGGCAGTTGAGGGTTGGATTTCTGGTTGAATAAAGAGCCCAGGGGTGGGGGGAGGGGGGCATTAGGTAATTTATAATATTATATTACCCCAAACAATGTAAGAATACCAGTAGACAAAATCCATCTTTTTTTTCATCAACCTGCAATCTTTGTTGGGAAATCGCACGAACATACAAGCTTTTTTTCACAGATTTGCAGATTCAATATACCACCTCAAGGAGATTGCATCGCAGGCCATGAGTCTAAAGTCTAAAACTTCTAGAGTAAAATAACTTTGATCAAATCTCGTCGTCATTATAGTTACTGGAGCTGAGTAAGTTCATCTCGTCTTCCCTGTTGGTTCGCGACTTGGCCGGTTTTCGAGGAACAACTATCCTGTCCGATGATCTTCCACAAAACGTCACGAACAACAATATGAAGTTGATTAACATGCTAATGACGAGAAGAGCGTCCATCCATGCATAGTTCTTGATCAAAAATCTAAATGGAAGTTAAGTTGCATAAGCCATTGCACCCTAGTGTGACATGCTACTTTATTATTTTACTCTGTCTAATGCCAGACAATTTTACTCTGTCTAACGTCAGATGATTTTACTTGGTCTAACGCCAGACGATTTTACTCTGCCTAATGCCAGACAATTTTACTCTGCCTAATGCCAGACAATTTTACTCGGTCTAACACCAGACAATTTCGCTCTGTCTAATGCCAGACAATTTCGCTCTGTCTAATGCCAAATGCATGTCACTTTACCTTCAATGGCCGGGTTAAAGCCATTAGTCATATTGCAAGACATTCATTTATATAATCTAGTTATATTCAAATGATAATCCATTTCCCTATCAATCCAGCTTAATTTACACTCAGATTCCAGCTAGTGTTTGAGTCTTCAGGCAAAGATAGTGTTATAGCTCACATTCCAAAACTGGATGATGAATAAGCCTACAATTTTACATCTGTTTTTTCTTTACTGCTTGACAATGGAGTAAGGACTTATTTCAAAACATACAATGACATATGGAATTCTCAGTTCTGATGAATAGATGTTTTGTAATAGATATACCTTTTGATTACTTCCTTGGTTGTTTCATTTCCTGATGTTGAATGATTCCCTGCCATTGCTAAATAACATAAAATATACGATTTGGTGTCTGATCAATTTTGTACCAAATAGATGCTTGCCAATTTTTTTCTTCTAATAACCCCAAACTTACAGATATTGTAGAGCTCAGTGCCATTGTATGGGATTCCATTTAGTACTTGTTCAGAACACGATGGTCCACTCCACGGGACACGGCATACACATTGACCATCAATGCCACAGTCACCATGTCCGTTACAATCACGGGGATTACACATCTTGTCGTGAACACACAGTATCGTGCTCACTTTCCGAGCACACAGATATTTATGACTAGAAAGTAGTACAAAATGCAAATATTAAATTTAAAAATTGTTTGATACTTTGACACTGTGAGCCCATTATGTTACATTGCACCCCAATGCACCCTACTTTGTTACTTTACTCTACCAAGGCCGGATTTTGGTGGAAATAGTGGGGGAGGCTCACAACCCCCATGGGCTTAAGGTAGAACGGACCAAAGTCAACATAGCCTGCGAACAGGCTCTCAAGCTGAATTGAGAGCCTGCATCGATGACTAATGAATTTGAATATCTGCCCTGTAACGTTCGTTTTTCCAAATATGGAATGTCTATCCTTATATGGTGCTGTTTACAACTTTCGTACAAACTAAATTTAGACCGTTCAGAACTAAATTTATACTGTTTTTCGAAATATAAGATATTCAAGCAAAAGTTTAAATGTTTTAAATACTGTTTTCTCAAAACGGAACATTTCGTGCTTTGAGATAAGATGGCCAAGACCAATTTGATCAGTTATATAATGTGTTTTTTATGCATAGTGTTCAACTGCTAGTTGACATATATAGAGCTCAGCGGAATAATATAAATTATAGCATCTGACCAATGAGAATTTCGCGTCACGATTTGAGACGCAGATATTCAAATTCATTAGTCATCGATGCAGGCTCTCAATTCAGCTTGAGAGCCTGTTCGCAGGCTAAAGTCAACAATGTATCATATGCATGACATTGCATGTAGTGTACATTATATGTGTTGAGTGTATTAATGAATTATGACTGTACAACTCATCCAATTTTGCCCTTCATTACAATTACCACAAAATTTCTTCATTACGATTACTACAAAACATTACACTAAAAGTAGGGGTACTTGACACTGAAATGAATTGGCTATCACTCTTTAGATTTTACAGAAAATCGGTCCTAAGCAACCAAAAAATGTCAAATGTTCACTTTGATCCATCATCGAAACTTTCCCAAGGGGAGGGGCGTGACTTTTTAGGGGAGGTGCAAAACAATCTCAGGGGAGGTGCGCACCTCCCATTGAAATCCGGTCATGCTCTACCTAATGCCAGACGATTTTACTCTTCAAGGGGAGAGTGCTGTCACTTCAATGGATTCATACTAGTGTATTAGATGTTTAGGAATTATTGAGGTAATTTTTCAATACTCGCCAGGCGGCGGTGTGAATCGCCATGACTCACCATTGATCAGACGGATGACTCACCATTGATCGGACGGATAATTCACAAGTGTGCCATTCTCAACAAATGTTGTAGAGCCTCCTCCATCAAGATTGATTGCATTCACCAAACCATAAGACTTCAAGAGCTTGCCAAAATCATAAAGAGTAAGTCTGAACAAAATCACAGATTGTTAGTGATCGACAGAAAATCGGCATCGGACCTATTTTTGCTTTATCTGTGGACAATTGGAATAGGTAGAATTATCTATATTTCTGATTGTCTAAAAACCGATTGTTACGTACTTTAATTAAAAATTATATGCATTGCACGTTGATACGCATTGCATTTTAACGCAATATGTTAAATTAATGTGTGAACTGTGCCACTTATTAATGGTTTTAATGACCTGCGGTAGCATTGCGATAACATTTTATGCCAGAAATTATCATTAAAAAATGAATGATGTCAACTTACTTGGTCGACTGATATTATGATGTCATTACAAAATCAGGATCGGGTAGATTGTGGCAAGAATAATCGGTAATTTTTTATTGTTGCACAATCTGTCAATCACTAGTTAGAACCTTGCAATCATATACAGTGTAGCCTGTACATAACTGAATCAATACCAGACCTGCCAACCCTTGAGTAGCAGAAATAGTGAGTTGCTATCTAAAAAGTCATGAGATTGACTGAAAAATCGTGAGACTTAGAAATTCTGGCATTGTACCTACATTGTGCATTACACTAATAAAGTGTGATGTTTCCTTGGAAGAGTGTGCCTTATTGTAACTAGATGTTGCGCTCTTCGACGATTTCATAAGTTCCGAAAATTGTGAGATTTGGGGACTTAATTGTGAGATCGCGAGAAAGCATAAAAAGTTGTGAGTCTCACGATTAAATTGTGAGACTTGGCAGGTATGCAATAGGCAGTTGCGATATATCGATATATTTTCGATAAATATCGACATTTCAAAAATATCGATATTTTGATATTCAACTTTTCGCATATCGAAAATATCGAAAGTTGTAACTAAACAACTTAATCTCCGATTATTCTGCAATTATTGTTTTCATTGGTGAAGTTTAGACAACTGTGTATGGCGGCAATTACGAATTTATGATACAAGAGCGTGTGCAATTAAAATTAAAAGCCGAGTTGGAGATGACGGATAAACCGTTGTTAATAAATCTTTGAGACGTACCATGACTGGTTTCATGCACTTCTTTTTAACTGTTTGTGATGTGTATACATGCAAGTTGACTAATTTACTTTTTCTCATTTGCATAATTCGATATAGTCGATATTATCGATATTTTCTTTTCGATATCGACATATCGATTTTTTCAATATCGCAACTGCCTAGTATGCAATACTATTTATAGGTGTCTCACCCTCGGTAATGTGTTTTCCCATCAACTTGCACAATTACGACTTGGCCATTTTTATCGTGACCCACGGCTGTCCTACCGGACAGAACTTCCGCAAACTTTTTCAGCGTGCCCGTTTCTTCCGTTTCTCGGCACTCTGCCTCGATACTCTGGTCAACATACAAACTGCCATTTCTTAATATCCAAATGACACCTGTGACAAGCTGGTAGAACTCCGAGATACCGTTTCCAGGGGTTACGTCATGTTCCGACAAATACCCTACAACAAGGGTACCGTTTTTTAGTATGCCAAAATTAGCATTTTGGATACCTTTCGCATCTCTAACGAGTTTCCCATTACTAACAACATTACCCAAGCAATTGCCGTTGTGGGTGTTAAAGAAACCGGCGTTCACCGCTAGCCGACAGTTCATTTGCTTTGATGTTGCAGCAACAGTCGATCGTAAACTATTCTGACACCCCCCTGGTTTTTGTGGCTCTAGCACAGATAGGCTTTCAAATGGATTGGAAATTGTAACGATGTGACCATTAACGTAATTATGCCCATCTTTGGTCTCGACTTTTTTGAAGAATGATTTAAACACGACAGGGGACTTGCTATACTTCGTCTTATTTGCCGCAGAGAACGTTTCGAACGTTGTATTTCCGTATATAATAGGCTGGCATTCCCTCACGTGACGATGATGGTCAAATCTGTGATTTTCCGGCAAGGTTTCGCGAGAATTTTTGTACGATGTTAACAACACATCGAGCGGGTCTTCATTCGTTTGTAACGTGTATTGAAATTGCAGGAAAACACATAAAAACCATAACACGTTGCAGTAACTGTAGGTCAACAAAACTCTTGAACAAGACGCCATGTTGATTTGCATATTGTAATAGTTGGCGGGCAGGCGGGCTAAAAGCAGGCAACATTAATCTGCGACCCCAAAATTTTGATATTAACGCATTTTATTATAAATTAACGAAATAATTTTGGGATTAAATTTGCTATTATGTAGTAAGCAGGGACGCCGAAACTGGGGCAGGAGGGGCAGCCGCCACGTTTCCCTTTACCAGAAGGGGCAGGGGGGGGGGCGAAGGTGCCCTTTCGATTTAAAGGGTTGCCTTGGCGAAATAGCGAATTGTCAGAAATGTTAGTGCGATTCTTTTACGAATTTGCTTCAGAAAACGCAAGAAATGCAGTCATCGAGCTTCAAGAATAAATAGCACAATCGCCTGGCGGAGAACCCCCTCACACCCCTATCATCCAATAAATAGAAAACATGATAAGGCGAAGTTCAACTCCCGATGTTTTGCAAACATCTCTTCAGTATATATCAATTCAAAAGTGCCCTTTCACGAAAATCTCCCTTGCCTTCACATCGTTCCAGCGTCCCTGGTAGTAAGAATACTATACTCACATAGGACAAGTTCAAATGTGACCCCAAAATTTTCATATTAACGGATTTTATTCATTACCGAGATAATTTTGGGATTTATTCAATCTCGTTCCCAGAGTATGCACTACCTAACCCGCGAACAGGCATACTCTGAGAACGAGATTGGGATTTATTTTGCTATTATGTAGTAAGAATACTATATTCGTATAGGACATGTTGAAATGTGACCCCAAAATTTTCATATTAGGCCAATTGAAATCATGTTTCTCGTCCACAATTTTCAAAAATTTGGAGCGGGATTTTTTCATTTTTCATTGTTTTTTTGTGTTTGAATTCTGCTTGTCAATAATTTCTTGACCCATAAAAATCTGAAGTAAATCGGTGTATAATTCATTTTAATTTAATACGTCCTACTCTACAGTATATTTCTACGCATACCAGGGCTGACATGAAAAATAGAGGCATTCTGGCGAGTAATTTCTTTAGAAAGATACAATTTGAGTTGCGCTTGTGGAATGCAGCAATAAGACTTTGATCTGCAGATCAATTTGGTGTTTTATTAAGCCTATTTTTCAAAAATAATGAATAATGAAAAATTTTCGTGCGGTAGATAAAACCCATGCGGGCGGGGACGAGAAACATGATATCAATTTTCATTGGCCTTAACGGATTTTATTAATTACCGAAATGATTTTGGGATTAAATTTGCTATTATGTAGTAAGAATACTATACTCGTATAGGACATGTTCAAATGTGACCCCAAAATTTTCATATTAACGGATTTTATTGATTACCGAGATAATTTTGGGATTAAATTTGCTATTATGTAGTAAGAATACTATATTCGTATAGGACATGTTGAAATGTGACCCCAAAATTTTCATATTAACGGATTTTATTGATTACCGAAATGATTTTGGGATTAAATTTGCTATTATGTAAGAATACTGTACTTACATAGGACATGTTCAAATGTGACCCCAAAATTTTCATATTAACGGATTTTATTAATTAATTACCGAAATGATTTTGGGATTAAATTTGCTATTATGTAGTAAGAATACTATATTCGTATAGGACATGTTCAAATGTGACCCCAAAATTTTCATGTTAACGGATTTTATTGATTACCGAGATAATTTTGGGATTAAATTTGCTATTATGTAGTAAGAATACTATATTCGTATAGGACATGTTCAAATGTGACCCCAAAATTTTCATATTAACGGATTTTATTGATTACCGAAATAATTTTGGATTAAATTCGCTATTATGTAGTAAGAATACTATATTCGTATAGGACATGTTGAAATGTGACCCCAAAATTTTCATATTAACGGATTTTATTGATTACCGAGATAATTTTGGGATTTATTCAATCTCGTTCCCAGAGTATGCACTACCTAACCCGCGAACAGGCATACTCTGAGAACGAGATTGGGATTTATTTTGCTATTATGTAGTAAGAATACTATATTCGTATAGGACATGTTGAAATGTGACCCCAAAATTTTCATATTAGGCCAATTGAAATCATGTTTCTCGTCCACAATTTTCAAAAATTTGGAGCGGGATTTTTTCATTTTTCATTGTTTTTTTGTGTTTGAATTCTGCTTGTCAATAATTTCTTGACCCATAAAAATCTGAAGTAAATCGGTGTATAATTCATTTTAATTTAATACGTCCTACTCTACAGTATATTTCTACGCATACCAGGGCTGACATGAAAAATAGAGGCATTCTGGCGAGTAATTTCTTTAGAAAGATACAATTTGAGTTGCGCTTGTGGAATGCAGCAATAAGACTTTGATCTGCAGATCAATTTGGTGTTTTATTAAGCCTATTTTTCAAAAATAATGAATAATGAAAAATTTTCGTGCGGTAGATAAAACCCATGCGGGCGGGGACGAGAAACATGATATCAATTTTCATTGGCCTTAACGGATTTTATTAATTACCGAAATGATTTTGGGATTAAATTTGCTATTATGTAGTAAGAATACTATACTCGTATAGGACATGTTGAAATGTGACCCCAAAATTTTCATATTAACGGATTTTATTGATTACCGAAATGATTTTGGGATTAAATTTGCTATTATGTAGTAAGAATACTATATTCGTATAGGACATGTTGAAATGTGACCCCAAAATTTTCATATTAACGGATTTTATTGATTACCGAGATGATTTTGGGATTAAATTTGCTATTATGTAGTAAGAATACTATATTCGTATAGGACATGTTGAAATGTGACCCCAAAATTTTCATATTAACGGATTTTATTGATTACCGAAATGATTTTGGGATTAAATTTGCTATTATGTAAGAATACTGTACTTACATAGGACATGTTCAAATGTGACCCCAAAATTTTCATATTAACGGATTTTATTAATTAATTACCGAAATGATTTTGGGATTAAATTTGCTATTATGTAGTAAGAATACTATATTCGTATAGGACATGTTGAAATGTGACCCCAAAATTTTCATATTAACGGATTTTATTGATTACCGAGATAATTTTGGGATTAAATTTGCTATTATGTAGTAAGAATACTATATTCGTATAGGACATGTTGAAATGTGACCCCAAAATTTTCATATTAACGGATTTTATTGATTACCGAAATGATTTTGGGATTAAATTTGCTATTATGTAGTAAGAATACTGTACTTACATAGGACATGTTCAAATGTGACCCCAAAATTTTCATATTAACGGATTTTATTGATTACCGAGATAATTTTGGCTTACTGTATTTTGCGAAACTGAAACTTTGCGAAACTGTATTTTGCGAAACTGTATTTTGCGAAACTGCATTTTGCGAAACTGTATTTTGCGAAACGGTATTTTGCGAAACTGTATTTTGCGAAACTGTATTTTGCGAAACTGTATTTTGCGAAACGGTATTTTGCGAAACTGTATTTTGCGAAACTGTGATTTTGCGAAACTGTATTTTGCGAAACGGTATTTTGCGAAACTGTATTTTGCGAAACTATATTTTGCGAAACTGTATTTTGCGGAACTGCATTTTGCGAAACTGTATTTTGCGAAACTGTATTTTGCGAAACTGTATTTTGCGAAACTGTATTTTGCGAAACTGTATTTTGCGGAACTGTATTTTGCGAAACTGTATTTTGGGAACTGTATTTTGCGGAACTGCATTTTGCGAAACTGTATTTTGCGAAACTGTATTTTGCGAAACTGTATTTTGCGAAACTGTATTTTGCGAAACTGTATTTTGCGGAACTGTATTTTGCGAAACTGTATTTTGGGAACTGTATTTTGCGGAACTGCATTTTGCGAAACTGTATTTTGCGAAACTGTATTTTGCGAAACTGTATTTTGCGAAACTGTATTTTGCGAAACTGTATTTTGCGGAACTGTATTTTGCGAAACTGTATTTTGGGAACTGTATTTTGCGGAACTGCATTTTGCGAAACTGTATTTTGCGAAACTGTATTTTGCGAAACTGTATTTTGCGAAACTGTATTTTGGGAACTGTATTTTGCGGAACTGTATTTTGCGAAACTGTATTTTGGGAACTGTATTTTGCGAAACTGTATTTTGCGAAACTGTATTTTGCGAAACTGTATTTTGCGAAACTGTTTTTGCGAA